AGCTTCTGGGCCAAAAACAGTAGTAAAAATTCAGGCCAGGCCAGCTGTATTTAAAGGCACTGTAAGGGATGAGGGCTGAATGAGCCTATAATTTACTAAGACCTGATGATTGGGTCATAAATTTGACAGGATCCATCCTTGGAGGAGGAAGGTAGCCTGGTGGAGGTAATTGCTGGCAGCTGCAAGCCTCGGTTATCTCAAGGGAGTGGCAGTAGCCCAGATCAGGAGATGCTGATTACCTTTCAGGAGGCACCAGAGTATCCTTGGACATGAGTTGACAAGCTGCCTCAGGAGATGGAACTGGATTCTGTTCTAGGTGATTCGCTACTGAACTGTCTAAGAGGACTTCTCTATTTAGAATTGCCAACATAACTTTGCATTTTAAATGTTTTATTGCCAACTGCTCATAGGTTGGATGATTTCTGCACTGCATACATCCTGAGTGTTTGAATGTTTTTATTCAATTAAATGAAATAAGCTTTTTAAGGATATTTGCTGTGTGCTGAGAGTTTCCTGTCTGATGGCTAGCTGCAATCTTATCTATTGAAGCGAACCCCAAGGTCAGTCGGACCTGACAGGCACATATAAGCCGCAAGATCAAATCAGAAGCTGTTTCTTGATAATGCCAAGATAGTATGCATTATTTCTAGTATACCTATTGTTTGTTCACTGAATCACTTGATTGGCTAATTAGCACCTTAGTGTGCAGACTCCGCTGAATTCCTTTCACTGGTGTCTAAGCATCTTTAAGAAAATGTTAATTTAGTTAATTAGATGCCAAGGGGCAATACATAAAAGCAAATAATTTACTTCCCTGAATTGTTTGGTTTTGGAGCATCAGAATTATTTGGAAGAACTTGCAAGAAATAAGTTACCAAACTGAGAGTGCAGTCCTGCACAGAGTTACTCGGTCTAAACTCATTGAAATCAATGTTCAAATAGCCTAAATTTTGCAGCAGTGCTTCAGAATCAAGCTGGTGTATGCTGAAGATCAAAGAAAAATATGCACTGATCTTTTAGAACTTATTCATTTCAACGAGAGGGAAGATAAAAAGAAGTTAATAGAACCTTATTTGACAGAATTAATTAATGTAGAAATTCACAAAATGCTTTTCAAAACTCATTTATCCAGGCCGGAAGATACCTCCATTGCAGTCTTTACATTTCTCAGGGAAATGAAAACATGACTTCAACAACTTGACCCAAAACAGTGACATAACTTATGTAAGACACCTTTGTAACATATAGGTGGTTAAAAGCTGGTTTAGTTTGCCCTTTCTTCCTCTCCCTTTGCTGAGATATGAATAATTCTGTTACTGTCTTACAGCATGTGAGGGTAGAAGGAGAGTGCAAACCACAACAGAGCAGAGGATGAGACAGAAGGTGAAGAACTATAGTATAAACACTAGAATGGAACCTAGATGAGTAAGTCTGACCTTGACAGCCACTGGTGCACATACCACTGAGAAATAGTTCCTATATTAAAAAAAATTCTTGATATTGAGCAAAAAATCCATGTCTTCCTTTAAGCAATGTGCTTTTTTTAGTATAAGCAGTACTGCTACAAATTAGATTCCAAATACACATTATGCCCCTATCTTCATTTCAAGGAAGAGATATATAAGTATCCTATTTTTGATTTTTCTAGTAATTCAATGATCCTAGTCTGACTATGAGCAGGTCATATGTCAGGGCCGGGGTCTGAGTCTAACACAACAACCTAACAATTCTGATAGCCTTATGAGCGAGTCGCAGGCATCTTATATAAATGCATGCATACAGTACATACAAGGGGCCACTGGAGACAATCTGTAGATATGAGAAAAGTTTCCTAAATCACTTCCACTCAAGGAGACACATAGTTAAGACTCCAGGCAAGGAGACTCAAATGAGCATGACAATAAAAAAATGAGGAGCAAACAGGGGGGGAAACCGTTGAGTGTGATAGAGCCCTCTTGACAGTACAGACGACGTTCCACTCATCTCATCTGTTCAGCTCTTCTGGGTTTTTTCCATGATAAACACAGAGATCATTATCACACTTAAGTGATCTTTTCACAAAGTCACCGCTCAGATTTAAAGGCATACCAGAACTCATGTTAATGAGCCTGAGGGAAGGATCTTCAGGCTTGCCTGCTCTTCCTTTCCTGCCGCCACCCATCGTTCATGGCCATCTAATGCAATCCCTAATTTTCCAATTCATATGATCTACCAATCTATGGTTTGGTTTTCTTTGTAGACCAGGATCAAAATCACCATTTGGAATCCTCTTGTGCAAAGAAACAGAAAACGATGGCTTGCTGATTCCAGGGTTGACCACGAAAACAGAAATAACTCGATGTCTGGCTGTTGAAGAGGAAGCATACAAATCTGAGGATTCTCCATGCTTTTTCTTGCAGTGGCAAACTATGATTCATCTGTGATCAAATCATGCTGGAGCCACTAACATCCAAGGATGAAATTCTCCATCAGCACAAACTTGTAGACACACACAACACAGTCACTGTGCAGAACAAAAAGTGGATGATGGATGGAGGCTTCCAAATGCATTCTTCTTAACCAGGAGATGGGAAGAAAGAATCAAGTAGGGAATCAGAAAATCTACACAACACAAGAAGATTGCTGTACTCCCAAGATTCAGCCAGAGTAACAGCAACCCAGATGTACACAAGGCTCCCAGCAACTACATTTCTCCTTCATATATTAAAAACAAAAACTCTACATAATAGCGCCAAAATAAATATTAGTTGGATCAGCCATAAAATTAACCTGATAACATACAGTATCTGGACCTGAGGTTGGGGTGGGGGTACCTGAGAATCATCCAGATTAATTCCAGGCATACCATTTTTCACCAGCTATCTGGAGGGAAAGCACAAGCAATTGATAGATGGAGAGGAAATGTCCTTTCTAAAGCCGTGTTTTTCCAGTCACCTTCCAATAGCTCTAAGTGTGAAAACCTGTTTCTGTGCATGGTTCACCATTACTAGATTGGATGCTACATCGTTCAGATATGATAAATCATTAGACAATACTATTCAGTTCTTTCTTAATCATGGAATGAAAAGCATTTCAAAAAAATAACAAATGAGTGCAGTAATTACCATGATTTCCATTTTTACATTCCAGATTAAAAAACAAAACAAAACTATTTGCTCCCACAATCTAATTTAATGAAACTCCCAACTTCTGTATATAAAGGAAATGTCTTAAAGTCATTTTTATCTTTTGTAGATTTTAAATAATCTACATCCTACATATGCACAAATTTAGTTATTAAAATGGTCCATCGTTTAAATGATGCAGTTAAAGTAAATAAAACTGTTTTGTATGATTTTTAACAATTTATACAAGGCTAAAATTGATTAGAGATAAGAGCCTGCTGCCATTAAGCCTCCATTCTGCTGGTCTCTCTCTGTCCCCCTCCATCATGCATTTGTGCACCTCTTGTCTCTGCCACTCACAAGGGTCCCCTAAAGCAGAGTTCCAGACCAGTTTGCAATATGAGAGAAAGAACAGATGACTGAGCAGCACAGGAGACACCCAGCCAGACTGCATTAGAAGCCTGTAAGGCACAACAGCAAACTCAGAAAGATTTTGAGCTAGCCAAGCACTGAAAGCTTTTACACAACTGTTCAAAGTACTTCAGCTCATCCAAGGTGCTCTCGGCACAATACTCTGTTCTCCTACCTAACAAAGAAATGAACAGTGACATCAGCCTCTAACTAATGAAATGTTTTCTATAACACGGCTCCTGGCTTGTACCACTTGCACTAGCTACTGGTGCTTTAATTCTTGCTTATGAAACTAGGACTACCTCTGATTTATCTCCTCTCAGGACACTTTCCTAGCACTTATTTGGAAAAGCTGTCAAAACAGGAACTTCACTCCACTTCCAACAAGCAGTTTCATGTTTGTCGAGCTCACGTGAATTCCCTGCTTATTTTCAAGCCTGCGAAATTCAAATCCTTTGTTTCTTGTTACTCCTCTAACTCTATATCTGAAGATTGCAATAATTCCCCAGTTTGTGCTCAGTAAGCAGATCTTGAGATATTCTGCTCTGCTCCATATCTCTATAGAGATATTCTGCTCTGCTTCAAGTTGCCTTGCTCTACTTAGCTGTGCGTTCAACAGCTGATTCTACATGCTACTTCTTCTCAGAGATCTCTACTTTGATTTCTTGGGAGGCTTGGAGTTCTCAAGCTCACCCACCAACTCCAAACCTCTCAGTTTGTGCATGGCTGAAGGCTAGCAAATATCTGGATACCTGCTCCCTCAGACAGCTTCCCCACTGAGGGGAAGCTGTCTGAGGGAGTCTGCTTTCTCTCTTGCCCCAACCCTCTCTCTGAGCTGTCTGCTTTCTCTCTTGCCCCAACCCTCTCTCTTGAGTTTACACATTGCACAAATGTGCGTAGGTAGTTGGAATAGTTACATTTGTTGTGGACATTCTAGTATTTGGTGCTTTCTGAATTTTTAATGTTTTTCTATGTGAGTGTATTTTTTATCCTGCTAATTAAACTACCACCGTTTTCCAGTTCAGATTTCAGTTCTTTTTTCAAGACTTGTCTAAATGATGTTCATATAAATGTGATGTATCTCATTTACAAAAGTCTTCAAATAAATTCAGATGCAAATCCTGATCCATGTAAGAACATAACACACCAAATTCTACTAAATACATCCTTAGTTTATTAGCCATATGCAATAATGTACTTTGTTGTGTCTTTGCAATTGCTGTTTGCACATACAACCGGCATGGTATAGGCCTCCAAGTTAAGTGATATAGTTTATCAACATTACTGTTTTTGGAACACAGAAGTTAACAAGTTGAAGTTATTTAATTCATTACTATGTTTTAGTTTAAATTGATTTTTATTTATATTCATTTGTAAAGCTGTTTGGTTACAATTTTGCTGATTGTATCAAAAACGTAATAAAAATTTTATTAAAAAAACCAAAAAACCCAGCAACCTGTAATCTAGAACTTAACCAAAACTCACCAATGAAATAGTTGTTTCCTAATTCAAGCATTTCTTCTGTCAGGACAAGTCCACCCATTGCTTGGAGAAGAGTAACGCTTGTGGCATCTATCAGCGAACATTGTTTAAACCTTTCTGTTGTGACTTTCCATAACAAAATAAGGGAAGCTGTAGCATCTTGCCTTATACTAAAAGACAAATAAGTTAAAAAGAGAAATATCAAACAGATGAAATTTTTAAAAATCTTAGTATACATCACTTAAAATGCACAAAAAGCAAACATATGTAAGCACAGATCCAAATCCAAAAGACACCAACTGTAATGCAAATAAGCTACTATTTTAATGCAGTGCATTCTCCCCATAACTGGACACTTAAATGGGTTAGAGGAAAGTCCAAGAGATGAAGAAGAAGAAGAGAAGAAGAGATTGGATTTATACCCCGCCCTTCACTTGGAGTCTCAGAGCGGCTTACAAACTCCTTTCCCTTCCCCTCCCCACAACAGACACCCTGTGAGGTGGGTGGGGCTGAGAGAACTCTGACACAAACTGCTCTTTTTCAAGGACAGCTGTGCCAGAGCTTGTGACTGACCCAAGGTCACATCAGCAGGTGCAAGTGGAGGAGTGGGGACTCAAACCCGGTTCTCCCAGATTAGAGTCCGCACACTTAACCACTACACCAAACTGGCTCTCACAGATGCACTCAGTCAAAGACTATTCAGGCAGGTCTTGGGGTTATACTTGCAAACCCAGAAAAAGTCACAGAGGAAAGGAATTTACCCTCCATTCAAGCCAGATGTCACTAGCGTCACAGGTTTATTATTTATTTATTATATTTATAACCCACCCATCCTGCAAACAGGCTCAGGGCAGCTAACAAAGTGGTACAATGTACCTGATTGGCATAACCATAAAAATTTTAAACTACATAAAACACATACTCATTCATATTACATAATTTAACAGTTAGCAATAAAGTGCTTGCAGTACTAAAGATTAGGTGGCGTGCTTTCCAGATCTAAATCCACGTTGTTCATCCGATCATCATCCCTCGAGCCGATGGGCCTAGCGATACAACTGGGCCAGTCCTAGGATCCAGAAGTTCAATAGGATCATTGATGGTAACAATAGTGATCTGGCTGGTTCTGGCTGACCTGTTATGGTGTCATGAAATGTTCACCAAAAAAAAATTAAATGCCAAGGGCAAAATGGTAGCAATATATTGCTGTCAAACTGGCACTTCTGTGACAAGACTGAAATATCAATGTCACTTATACAGCGTTTGGGGAAAGGAGAAGCTATCTACTGCTGGTAGATAGTCAGATGTACTGGGCTGGTAAGAGAGTCTGGAAAGCTGAGTAAATAAGAATCCAAGAAGATAAGAGACTGAGAGGCAGTAAATTTGACAGAAGTAAGACAGAACCGAAGGCTGGCTGAGAATTAGAAACTTGGCACAAAAGAGAGAAGCAGAGGATGCAAAAGGCCTCAGTAACTGGAGAAGGCAGAGAGTTGAAAAGAGAAGATACTTTGTGCCCGGCCTGCCAGGAAGTCAGTAGACAAGGAAGAGTGCTTTTGAGGCAGGAGGATTGTGGGAAAGGGAGCCAAAACGGAAGCAGAAATGGCTAAAATGTTATCAATTACTGAACTGAATACTATCTGAACAGAAGAAAAATCTGTAACCAGGGGTCGTTTAGTAGAAAAAGAGCCAGGGGAACTCATTAGCATAACTCATTAGCGTATGCCACACACCCTGACATCACCGGAAGTGTGTCATAAGGCCACACCCCCTGACATCACCGGAAGTGTGTCATACGGCCACACACCCCGCCCCCAACGGTCTCGGCTGCCGCCGGCCTTGCAGCTCCACTGTCGAGCCCCATGAGGGGCCTGGTGGTGGACCTGCAAGGCCGGCGGGAGTGCAAGGAAGCCCCGCGAAGGCCCTCCCTGGCCCCAGGCAGGCAGGGGTGGGGAGAGGCAGGGAGGAAGCAACTTACCCTCCCTCTTCTCCTGCCTCCTCCTGGCTGAATGAGGGCCGGAAGCGGGGCGGCCAGAAGCAGGGGGCGGGGCTTCGTCATGTGCCCCGCCCCCCGTACCTCACCCGGGGGAACTGCGATCCCCCGCGTTCCCCCCAGAAATGACCTCTGTCTGTAACTATATTTCAGATTAGCAGAAGCTGCAGTGCATATCCAGTAGATTATTTTATATGTGTTTATTTACTTAATTTATAGCCCACCTTTCTCACACAATTCAGGACAGATTCCAAAACACAGTAAACAGTTCAATCAGCCAGCACAATGCAATAAAACCAGGATTACAGAAATCAGGAAACAGTGCAATTAGATAACTGCTTTAGGCATCAGATACCATAAACAATACTGAGAGTAGATTACAGTACTAAAGGACAGGACAGTAAAAGGAAGATGATGCATACAATAAACATTGCAATGGACTTCAATCTTGTTCCTTTTTAAAAGCACCTTCCTGGACTGTGCAATTATATCACAATTCTGATTCTTTTATAAAAATGCCCTCTTGAACACTTCTGTATGGCTACAATGCTGACCATATGGGTATCATTCAGGTACAAATGTTTCTATACAAAAGCCAATTACATTTTCTTTCTATTATCATGGAAATTTCTGAGAAGGCTAAACCTATGTCTCCATTAATAGTGACCTCCCTTAAAAATTGTAGCATCAACTAGTGATATTCAAACCAAATTAGTTTATAAACCAAATTCATCCCAATTATCTGAGGTGGCCTTTACTGCTCTGTGGCTTCTTTTACAAGTATATACATGTTGATGGGTGAATAATATGTTTCCACTTCCCCTCAAATATGTTTATTATTCTCCTTTCATCAGGAAGGCCTCTCCTAGAGATCTGCTCTCTGTCACTGGCACCAATGTTCCCTCTAAGCTGTGGAGTCTTGTGAGCAAAAGTTCTACTTTGTGAGCTACTGGCATTAGAGTGGTGAGCGAGCAATTTGGCTACTTGCATAAATTAGTTTGCTCTGGAGCCATCCTTCATGAGCTAAGACAAAAATGTGTGAGCTGGAAGCTAAAAAACAGTGAGCTAGCTCACACTAACTCAGCTTAGAGGGAACACTGACTGGCACAGCACCCAAAGTCCCATGGTTCATCCTATAAGAGCAGCTGCTGCAGGCTTTTGTTGTCTGAAGTTACCATACTAGATTTATTATTACAACACCCCTTCCAACTGGAACAGCAGCATCTGCAGTCTTGCCATGTAATGCCTCCTTCCTATCAAGGGGAGTGTTAAGGATTCAGCCTTGGCAGGCTAACTCAGAAAGTAAAGATGAGCCTCAGAACAGCAACAGCTAGGCTGGTGTGCTGATTCAAGAAGCTTCTGGCAACATGGGCCTCTGGTTCATTCTATGCCCTAGATCCAAATCAGGCTTCCAAGACTGTTGGTAGTGCTGCAGGAGGAGCGCTGCTGCCTACCAAAAGGATAAGGTTTGTTGTTCCATTTTGTGAACACACATGACACTGTTTTACACATGGTCAATACTGCCTACTCTAAGTCATAGTGACACTCTGGGATCTCAGGTAGAGATCTTTTGCATCTCCTACTACTTGATCTGTTTAAACTGGAGATTGACCCTGGGACCTCCTGCATGCTAAGCAGATGCTCTACTGTTGAGCCATAACCCCCAGCCTGTGGCTATTGTGTAAGGTATAAAATATATAAAGACAGATAGGGACATAATTCTGAAATAACATACTTTCACTGAAATATTATGGGGGCAGGAGAAAAGGAGGAGTGTATGGAAGACTGGGTTTGCTATGAAAAATGGACACAATTTGACATAATATATTTGCTAGGAAAAAAGGAGGGGAAGTAGAGTGTGGATGAGGAGCCCAGAAATGTGCCTGGCTCCCACGCCCCCCCCCCCCAAAGTCTAACTATGCAATTGTCATCTACTAATATATTTATTACATCTCTTGTTATCACTATTGGTTAGAATTTAAGATAACAAACTGGGGAACCCAAATTATTTTAATAATATCTTTATAAAATGAAGCAGAATTCCTTACTTTATTGATGTATTATTTGGAACTTCAAATGATATAAGGCGACCCCCACCAGAATTATTGGAGCTGGCATTTCCACAAGCCACATCAGGAATTATCTGGGGAGGGAAATATAATGAACATGTCAGGACATTTCATGTAAACATTTTAAAGCAGAGGAAATCATATATGAAAAAAACCTGAAATTGAGAGAAAAATATTTGCCAGGGGAAAGGGTAAGGTTCTTCTAAAGAATACAGCTTTGCCTTTAAAAGATATCAGTCAACTCTTTAGGGAAAAAATAAATGGAATTTCATAACGTAATATGCCAGATAAATCTGTGTGACTGCAACACGACCCTTTAAATATTAGGTGATATAAACACTTGAGACATCTGAAAGTGTAGCAGGAAGAACTAATAGTAAGTGTAGCTGAGGCACACTATCACATTTAGTTTCAACAAACCACTGATAGCAACTCTGTCACCTGATTACTACAACAAAGAAGTCTCATTTTTTTTCTCACTGACAGATACAAAATAAACTGAGCCATTACTACCTGTCAAGGAAAGAAATCCATGATCCATATAGTGCCGCTTGTAAAATAATTTAGTTCAGGCAATAGTTGCTCTGTCCGAGAAACTCTTATGTATTACTATGTTGATCGTTTAGAGGGATGGTGTAGCGTAATACTTATCTAGCTCCTTCTTTCACTATGCACAGAGCATGACTGAAGGTTTCAAAGCAGAGAAAGCCATGAATCAAATTCCAGTTTGCCACGATGTCTGAATGGAGGTGCCAGAGTGAACTGGGTGGGACGATTTCCGCGGTAGTGAAATTCCCCGCACTGACATTTTAAAAACTGCACGTGATGTGACATTTTCCATAGTACATTATTCCCCATCAGGCACAAACTCAAAATTTTCTCCTTCTTACCCAGTGTTTTTTTGGAATGCCCAATTTTACCAAGTTCCAAAAATGCAGGGTAAGAAGGAGAAAACTTCAGGTTTGCACCCGGTGAGGAAAAATCTACTGCGGAAAATTTCACATAATGAATTTTTACTTTAAAAACATCAATGTGGGGAATTTCACTACTGTGGAAATGGTCTGGGATTGGTCCTCCTCTGCCCCACTCCAATCTGAGATTCTAAACTGTGTTTAAAATGAGATTCAGAATCCCAGTTTGGGGAGAAGGGGTTTTCTTCCCCCCCCCCGGGTGCCGGCATACAGACACCATGGCAAACTCATACTTGTCATAAAACTAATTCTTTTTTCCAGCTGACTTGACAGGTCATATTCTGTGAATGTTCATATAACAGCACATTTATAGGTAACAAGAGCTGTGTTACTTTCTCTATGCATTCAATGCACCTGCATTACAAGCTTTTAAAAACGGTACAGAAATTTATATCAGGAAAATTCTTCTCACCTCTACTTCATTCCATTTCAGGTCCACAACTTTTTGTCCTTCCTTTGGCTCCCACGTAGGCAGTGTCACTGTGGCCTGTGATCGTGGCAAGACCATGTCAGGTTCCATGGTGGCCAGTGCTGGCCTGCTTTGACTTGGCACCTCCGATTCTGTCCATCCTGACACAGGAGGACTATAAACTGAATGTTCACAGTTTGTACCTTCATAGCCTTCATCACACACACACAGATAGCCGTCACTGTTACTACTGCAGTTACCATGGTGGCAAGGACTGCTGGCACATGAATCTGAAACAAACTGAACAGAAACAACATAATTGACCAATTAATACCATGAAATAGGATTTGCTTTTTGCCATCAATGATGAACAAACTAAAATTTATGCACAGCCTAGGTAATTTCAAACGTTTTACATAAGCTATTACATCTGGTTCATTGTTCACATTTCAATTTAAAAAGATTCTCAGGTTTTCCACATTTAATAAATTAAGAAAGCAGAAATAATAAAGAGAATTTGGTATTGTTAAAATGGTGAGCACAAAAGCTTAATAGAAGAATCTTGCAATAGTATCTTCTTGGAATGCACTAGAAATCCATATTATTTGGGAAAAAATAATGTGTTGAAAGTACACTGTGCTAAGATAAGGTCAGATAGATATCTTGCTCTTTTGATTGCGTTAACAACCTCCAGAGCCAACAGAAGATTTGTGTAACATTAGCATTCTTTTTTTTTTTTCAAATAAATTTTTATTATTTTCATAACTAAACACAATCAACATTAAAATATTTCTTAACAGTTGTAACATATCACTTTAAATCTCTAACAAACATAACAATTGTAAAGTCGATCCCAGTATCAAACATCCTACACAAATGTGTAGTAAAATATAGTTGATAATTACAAAATAGGAATAGGTAATAACAAATGATCTTATAATATCCAGTGTTTACGAATAAAAGAAAAGTATTGTGACTGATGTGAGTTTGAGAGTTGTCCTAATATATATTCCAAATGATTTAAGATTGGGTGCCATCTTCCATAAAAAGAGTCTGTTTGTTTGGAGGATTCATAACAGGCTAATCTATCCGAAATTCTGTCCATCAATAAATGGTTCCAAATATTTGAAAACCAGGAGTTTAAACGTAATGCGTGGGTGTCTTTCCATTGTTGGGCAATTGTGGATTTTGCCGCTGATAGTAATAGTGTAAGCAGCTCCTTACTATATGGAGGAATGTTAAGATCTTTCCAACTATGTAAGATTAAAATTTCGGGTTTCATTGGTATTTTATGCCCTGTAAGGTGTTCAATTTCTGACAGAATCTTTTGCCAGAAAGAGTTTACCCTCGGGCATTCCCACCAACAATGTATGTAAGATCCAACTTTTCCACAACCTCTCCAACATAGAGGGGAATATGAAGGGTTGATTTTATGCAGTTTCAAAGGGGTAAGGTACCACCTAGTTATGATCTTGTAATTCTGTTGTATCACATTGATTGATTTGGTTTTAAAGGCATAGGAGGACCAAACGGATTCCCAGAATGGTTCATCTAAAGTTGCATTAAAGTCTTTTGACCAAGAAATTGTATATGTAGGAAGTTTATAAGGTTTAGGGTCTAACAGAATTTTATAGATAGATGAGATAAGACTCTTTGAAGAGCCGTCAGTCGCAATCATGAGTTTCTCAAAGTCGGTAAAAGGGGTCTCACAAGCCTTTTGTAGTTTGGGAGAGGCGAAGAGGTGCTTAATCTGTAAATATTCCATCCATGGTAGGGATGTCTGTGCCTTAATATCCAATTTAGGTTTTTCTAAAAGTTGTTTATTACGAGTAAGGTCGTACAGTGTAAATAGTTTTGCTCTTTTCCATTTTGAAAAGGTGTTTTGAGGGTATGCTGGAGGAAACCAGGTTTGATTGTAAAATGAAGACATAAGAGAAAATTCAGGTAGAAGAGTATGACGTTTTGCTTTCCAAATTTTAAAGAGAGAGTGCATAAAAGGATGCTGTTGGATCTTAAAAGCTTTTTCTGAGATGTTTTGCCAGAGGGTTGTCTTATACGAGGACTGATTCAAAAAGAATTCTTCAATTCCTGTCCATTCAGGAAGGGGATCTACTTTTAAAATTTTTAGTACTGTTTTAAGGATCGTTGCTTCATAATAGGATTTTAGATTGGGTAACGCTAGTCCTCCTAAAGAGGAGGTAAGGCATAATGTTACATATTTAACCCGGGGGTGACGATGATTCCAAATGAATTTCGTCCATTGTGATTGCCAAAGGGTGAATTGCGATGGAGGTATCGGGAGAGGAAGGGCTCGAAAAAGATAAAGAAATTTGGGAAATATAAAAGTTTTGAGTGTTAGTATTTTTTCCAACCAAGAAAGATTTTTCTCCTGCCATTGAGAAAGAGTACTGTTGGTAATACTAGATAATTCAAGATAGTTAATTTTGAATAGCAAATCTAAATTTAAGGGGATTTTAACTCCCAAATAAAGCCAGTATTGTGTAACCCACTGGTATTGAAAGTTTTCTTGAATATAGT